TTCAAGTTTCTTCCTTCATTTATAGATAATTAGAATAGTTTCTTTTATGAAGTGTTAATTTAATCTTATTCAGTAGAAGTAAAATCAATAACTTACAGCGATGATTGAGCCAACATTTTTTTCAGGATCATATGGAAATGTCCATTGCATGATTCGCTGATTTTGGTTGTCAGCAACCATTATTTTCTTCTTCGAATCGACTAATACTCTTGTTGGAAAATGAAATTCATTTAATGCTGTACCTAAACTTCCATTTCCGGCCACTGTTTTTCCGCTTTTGGCATCTTTCTGCCAAAATTGAATTCTTTGATTATACCAATCAGAGATGAAGACATTTTCATTCTCATCTGCAAAAACATCTACGGGACAATTTAATTTATCCGGTGTTGACCCAGCTCGCCCATGTGGGTCACCAGCGGCAGTAATAATTTCGCCATTTGGATATCTTTTTTGCACGCGATGGTTTCCAACATCAGCAATATATAAAATTTGTGTTTTTGGCTCGATAAATATACCGTTAGGGTAATTTAATTGATTGGGACCTGTACCATAACCACTAATGATTGTTGTTCCTGTTGTGTTCCATTTAAGATTACCTGGACCTATAATTTCAATAAAAATTCAGATTTAAAAAATACATCGATATGATGATGGGATAAATTTATTTGTACTTACAATCGTTTGATTGTTTATCAATATGTTGACCTGAAAAAAAACAAATAGAAAAAGAAAACTGATTTAATTTCATGTACTTACCATTTATCGCGATTATCCTAAAAACAATAAAGTAAATACATTAAATACTGTATAATCAGAAACGAGATCCTTGAAGTTCAGGTTTTAGTTTAACTTTTCATTGATACTCACGCGAATACGCATAACAAATACTGCAATACCATTTTGTTATTTTGTTAGTGTAGAGAAATAAAGTCTCAATTTCTTACATCTTGATAATTATATTTATATGTCTTTATCAATGCATCGTCATCTACCTTTAACATACTTATAGGTTAGACAAAACAAGAGAAGATAATAGTGAATAAAGATCACGTCACATGCTCAGAACATCAGTAGAAGTTTTAAGTGAAAACTAGATGAATATAAGATGCATCTTTATCACAACAAGCAAGACTATTTTCAAGAAAAATAAATCTGATAGTAAAAATATTCTCTGTTTTTCTGTGCTTTCATTTACAATGACAATAACAACGTTTATATCCTTATTAAGTTTTCAAATTATAACGGTAGGTAGATGTTGAGAATAATAATTCATATTTTATGTCAATGCGCTTTTTATTCTTAAAATGAATACATTATATATAAAAACAAATGGCAATTATTTTAAAATACAACGATCTAAAAATATTTTTATCGTATTCTTTGAAATTTTTGTATACGACTATTAAATGTATCTGAAACATATAAATTAACGTCTAAATCAAATGCAACATTACCTGGATAGCTTAATTCATTGCTAGTAGTACTAGTTTGACCCGTTCCTGCAATTGTAATACCAAATACAGAATTTGAACAAAACATTTGTTGTATTCTACTATTCATAGAATCCGCAGTATATAAATTACCATACCGATCAAGAGTTATACCTTGTGGATAAAATAGTTGCGCTGAACTATTACCAGGTCTTCCGGGTATACTAGCATATATATTACGAGGTTCATAATCACCAATAATCCATTGTGTGATTGAATGAGAGTCTTGATTCGATATATAAAAAATTTGATTTGCTTCATCCTAGTATAAATCGGATGAATTTGTTGTTGCTTTCACTTTCATTGGCGCAAATTAATAATCGAATTTTCAGTAAGTTAGAGTAGTTTGTATGCTGATGAGTCTTACTTACAGCCAGAATTGTACCAACAGATGTTTTTCGATCAAATTTAGATGGCCATTTTGTGATACGTTCATTTTGTGTATCAGCAACGATTAGATTTTTCTTCGAATCAAGCACAACCCCATGTCTTTCATCCCGGCAATTTCCCGCCGGGATCCCGCTCAAAAAATATCGGGATCCCGCGAGATCCCGGCAATCCCGCGGGATCCCAGCAATAAAATATCATCTGATAATCGAAATTTATTTCATACAGCTTCTCAAAAAAGGGATATAACAAGCAATATATGAGATTATTTGTGCTAAACAAACAAGATAAAATATATTCTTAGTCAAACCTTGTATTAATTTATAACCATCATTAAATTTGATTTTTGTTGCATCAATTTGCAATAATTCTTCACGTGTAAAAACAATATAAATTAATGATGTTACATATAAATTCATCTTTTATTTAACACCAGTTATTGATAATAAATCAACATCATTTCCATCGTTGGGATTTTTATACATCTAAAAAATGAAAACAAATCTTATGAACAATCGATTAGTATAAAAAAAGGGCATGAAAAACATTTCCTTCAAAAGTTCTTTCTTCACATGTTATTACTCTGTTTAAAGCTGTTTGAACGTACCATTATTGTTTCAAATGTTTTTTCTTCAACTGGTTGTTCTACATTGGGTTCTTCTAATGGTATATATATCTAAATAGAAAGAAATAAATATAAAAAGCATGTCCATAATAGTCAGTATTTAACCGTGCTAGTATGTAAAAATGTACCGTTAATTTGTGCATGATTTTACTAGAATACGTTTTTAGATTTTCACTCTAGATGGCCTTTGAAACTTGTAGCCCTAGTAACTTACGAAAAAGATTTCAGACCGTAATATTTTCTAGGTTATTCTTAATTATGCAGTACACGATAAGAAGAAACTAGCCCAAAATGAGACTTTTTACCCCAATATCTGTCTAGCTGTTGCAGAAAGTGACTCCTCTTACCTTTTTTTACATAAGGCCTTTTGTATTTTTTTTAATTTGCAAATAACATGTGAATCATATTTTCTTGTCTTTCTTGTCCCATTAATATTTGTTTTAAATATTTTTCTTCTATGTTTGTAACACTTAACAATATTCATAGCTTTTCCTAATAATTTTTGTGCTTCATGTAATTCAGCCATTGTACCTATAGTAGAAAGAGAAATAGACAAAAGATAACTTTTCACATTTTAAAAAAAAAACTTCACGTTCATCTGATACCTTCTTTGAAAACCATTGCCAGACATTTTTTACTGCCACTTTGTATAGTAATTAATCCATCATGTTCTGAATTTGAACACTGTTTATTATTAACAATAGAAAATGTATTGTCACTTGGAAATATTACAAGTTTATATTTTAGTTCGGTATTGGTTATGCTATAAGTTTTGTAAGATTTTTTTATAAATATTAGTATCGTCTAACATATCTAAATTATTGTGCATACTCAATAAAAAATCAATAAATAGATCGATTTTATGTCGCAAGAGTAGAAGAATGATTGTCACAGCGGCCGACTATTGTGTAAACAGACATTGAATCAGAAAAAAGAACAATGATGGCGGTCAAGTCGATCTGAATGAGATGAGCAATCACTGACGGATGAGGTAATGACAATAATCCTTTTTCGTCTGACATAAAATATGCTATATCGAATTGATTACAATTATTTGTTTAACTACAAACATTCTAATTCGAATCTGTTTTGAACATACAATCGTAGAATGCGCTTCACTAAATGAACAGGAAATCATTTGGGATAAAATAATTTTGCCGGGATCCCGTCACTTTTTGCGGGATAGGCGGGAACCCGCGGCTTCCCGCATAGAAAAGTTAATCCCGCGAGATCCCGGCGAGATTCATAAAAAATGAGCGACATGGGACGCTACTTGGATAACTGAATCCATTCAATGCTGAACCACGAGTCCCATTTTCGGCAACCGTCTTTCTACTTTTGGCATCTTTCTTCCAAAATTGAATTCGCTGATTATTCCAATCTCTGCCCGGCG